TTAGTGTTGAGGGTTGAGAAAAAGTGCTGACCATGTGAACCGTTACCGACTGATCAGCGAAAGAAAGGGCAAAGAGGGTGGTCACAAAGTTGCTCACAGACCCTGAAGATGGCACTACGTCGAGGTAGCAGAGCAAAAGGGGCCGGTGCAAGAGCATCTCTTTGATCTGAACACGAACCCAAGGTGCGGGCTTGGGGGTACTTACGAAGCCTTTGATAAGTTTTTTTTGTGTTGAAGCGGGAAATGAGAAAGCTGTGGGTGAAGCTTACGTTGAATGTGCTCTCCCTAGCGGCCTTCTCTTTGAAAACTTCGTCGTAGTTGATGAGAAGGAAAATGCCAAAAATAAAGGCAGTGGCGATGCATCCGCCGTAATGCACAGAATGCCAGCCAAGTCGACTCCATGAAAGGAGGGAGAATATCGGAAACGCGAAAAAAGCGGCTATCTGAAAAGCAAAGAGTATTTAAGAAGGGGATTCCGATTGGCCTGATTTACCTGTATGTATGCGAAGATGATAGCAGGAAAAGCGATATGGTTTAAAGGAATGAACAACGCCATCTTGCAGAGGTACGGTATGAAAACAGCCAGAGAAAAGCCTGGAACAATGAAGTCCAAACAAAAGTTCCCAAGTCTCTTCGTCGAACTCACCTTGGAGAACTCGTATAACGATAGCAAGCAAAAATGTCCTCGCTGTAGTACAGATTGGCACGAACACTGATGGTACTATAGCCAACACTGCGCAGAGCACAAAACACCGCCTGAAACTCATTCATTGTGACAACTTGCCTTAAAGGCACATTCCACACCCTGCGATCCTGAGACGAACAACTTCTTGATAAGTTGGATGAGCACACAACAGCAGATGTAGTGCTACTTTTGCGAATCGTATCAAAACGCGACTGTTTGGGCCACTGGGAACATGAGCCTACAACCGCGACTATCCCACTCAAAAGTTCAGAGCCACCGTTACAGTGCCTGCGTCTGCTCTTTTGCTATGTTCTATCGCGTCCGATTCTAATCTCTCACATCGGCACACAGTGTCTTCAAGTTTATACTCCCTTCAAAAACGAGAAGAGTGTCGGGTGCAGACCATACACCACAAGTGACGACGGCCTCCACAAAATGTAAATGTTTTCTGCCAATGAAATGATTAGCCTGTTGCAGTTGTATTCTATCAGTTGTCACTAATTACAACTATCATTTACCAAAAATCAGCTATCACTATGAACCACTACTAACCAGATTTACTTGGAGGCCGTCGTCACTTGTGGTGTATGGTCTGCACCCGACGTCTTCTCGTTTTTTCTGAAGGGGGGGGTATCCGCGACCCGAACGCCGTATTAAAGAGGAGACTATTTTATTTCTCGATGGTTTTCCTCCTTTGTTTGTTGTTGACAATCCAATGCGCATGTCTACTCCTAACTTCGTTTTTGCCGCAAATTTCCGCTGCGATCTTTAGGCTCTCTGATCAACCTTTGGTACCTGGGTGGGGGGGGGTGCGAAAAAGACATGTTGCGCACGTTGCATGTCAGCGTTTTTTCTTTCATCGTACTGAGTACCGACGTTGACGGATATTCACAGCACAATATTTCTATCACTCCCTATACACAACTACAATTTGATGTGGGCCGATTTGTCGATGTCGTTTTGTCCGTACCGGGACACACGCCTTAACAGAGCCGGGGAGGCTGCGACGGCTAAATCTTCGTTGTGTTGTTTGTCCTGATTAGCGATAAACTCGTCAATGGGGCGCACATAAGCAGATGCGATCGAGCCAACTCATTCATACACATTCTACATGTCTGCATTCTTCATGGTGCTGCCGTGGCAGCTGGAGGGGAGGGCAAGACGGGAGAGAAAGAGGATGAGCAATAGGGGGGAGGGGGAGGGAGAGGGAAGGACCACGCGTTTTCAAGATCACGGTCGGATTTCCGTATTCAGGTATTCAGGTGCATTATTGGCCCTGGTTGGATACTACGCTCACTACTCATAAGATACACTTAGTACACTTTCATTCGTCCCCATCCGCTGCAGTGGCAGCTGGAGCAGTGGGGGGAGGGGGAGGAGGGGGGAGGAGGATGAGGTGATGAGGAGGAAGGCCAAGCTTTGCAGGGACGGGAGGTCCGGCGGTTGCCGGGGGAACAATCTGGTTACAGAATGTTCCCTATGAGTAGACGCAGGCCCTCCTTCACTGCCCTCACCGTCTTCAGAATATGACGTCATCTGTCATCGTCGTCAAGCTCAAGGAGGCCTACCGTAACTGCTTCAGCCTGAAGCTCTTACATAATTTCGTGAATCGATTAATGTTGGATAGTTTCCTAGAGGCATTAGCTCCGATGCAAGTCCCCTACCAATCAGCGTTTGAGAAAACGTAATGATACTCGATCCGTCGGGTGTCCCGTTGAGCTCGACCCGAGCACCATGTTTCCGTGCCAGATTTCCTAACTTCTTCCACGTAGAAAGCCTCTAGTATGAAGTTGTTTGTTTATAAAAAGTAGCACGTCCTTCAATTCTAAGTGGGAAGCATTTGGTTTGAACTTAACAAGGTGTGATTAAATCCATTAGAATGGGGAACAAAACATCTTTTTTTTAATGGCTCCCTTGTGTGCAATCACGTTCCTTCTGTACTTTACAAGCTCATAACTACCCAACTGATCAGCTGAAACTGTAGGCACGATCGCAAAAATATCTGAGATCAACGTCGGGGCATTTTCCACGCAACAAACAAAGCTAACCTGAATCCCATCTGATTGTAAGCACTGGCGATCGGGAACCACGAAATAACTCCGCCCAACGGCGCCACAGATATCAATGCCTCTTTCTGTGGATTTGAAAGGAAACGGTGCTTGTGAATGGTGACGTTTACACGAGAGTCGTTAATTTCGCGAATACCGTACTCGTCATAAACTGCAATGTAATGAGAAGTTCTTTTAGAATTTTCAGCATACAACTGTTCATTTTGCACATTGTGCTGATATTGGGCCGTATGCTATCCTCCCCGAAGGGGTTGGAGGACGGAAACCCTTCAAGTTTTCTCTATCTTCCCACCT